CTAAGGACATCATCATCATCATCTTTTTGGTAGGACCTGAGGCTCACAGCAGTCTGTTTTGGTAACGTCCTTACTTTGCAGTCATTTTGCTTCTCTGCCTCATTTCCCTGAAGCCTGCAAAGTATCAGGAAACTTCTTCAAATGCTGGAACCCACAGTGTGAGGAGAACAAGGGTTGCCACAGCAACTGCCCAGTGTTCCTGAGATTTATTCCTGCATCTTTCAAAACCATGACGAGTGCCACAAACTGCTGAGGCACTTGCTGTGAACAAAGAAAGGCTACAGAAAAAGAGAAGGGAAAAGAGCACCAATGAGTAGGTTGTTGTAAAGGTGAGATGTGTCAGGCTCAGGGAAAAAGTGGCAGCCATTGACTCTTGGTGTTAAACCCCCTCAGCCTCTGGAATGCTGTGTGTGTGTACAGAGTGTTTCAGCACTTGACTGTGTCTGACATGACAGTGGATAATGTCACTTGGCTTGGGATGCAACTCTATGATCCACTCAGGAAGGTGGCATTTATTCATAGAATCATAGAATTTTAGGGGCTGGAATGGACCTTAGAGCTCATCCAGCCCCAACCCCCTGCCCTGGGCAGGGACACCTCCCACCAGAGCAGGTTGCTCAAGGCTCATCCAACCTGGCTGTGAACACTGCCAGGGTTGGGGCAGCCACAGCTCCCTGGGCCAGTGTCTCACCACCAGAACAGGGAAAAACTTTCTCCTAATATCTAAACTAAATTTTCCCTAGTTCAATTTGTACCCATTGCCCCTTGTCCTGCCCCTGCAGTTCCTAACACAGATCCCTCTGCAGCTTCCCTGGAGCCTCTTCAGATCCTGGAAGGTGCTCTGAGGTCTCCACTCAACCTTCTCTTCTCCAGGCTGAACAGCCCCAACTCCCTCAGCCTGTGCTCATAGGGGAGATGCTCCAGTCCTCTTAGCAACTTAATGGCTCCCTCTGGATATGCTCCAACAAAGGGAAATATTTTCAGGCATAGGAGGCTAAAGTTAGCCACCTCTCCCTTTTGGTGTGCTAAATAACTCCTTTCTGGAAGGAAAATGCCTGGCCAAGACTGAAGCTTGTCAGCCAGAAGTGATCAGCTTCTTCATGGATTTGGGACTGGTCTCAGCATGGACTGGTGACCAGAGGCTGTACTGGGGGTCAGGAGGTTTAGCACATCCATTCCCCTTTTAGCCTAGGTTTTCTTACCTGCTAAACAAAATTAATGTTATGTTACCAGGGCCTATAACCTTTGGGTCATGTTTTGAGGCAGCCAATCAGTAGCATATGGTTCCATTGTGCAGTGGTTAATACAAGGGAAATACACCTGTGAGCTGTCTGAGGGCTACTATTGTCAATGAGCAGAACTTAAAAGAGTTGCAGACTATCAGATGTGTGGGTTGTGTATGCAGTATCTTCCTTTCTGAGGTGGCTGGTGCCTGTGTGTGAAAAGCTGTATGAAAGAGCCAGATGTGATTCCCTGTCAAACTCTGCTTGGGAAGGGGCCAAAGGGAGCAGTTCATGTTTCAAACTGTGCTGTGTGCACATTTGCAGGCAGAATGGAATGGTCTGTGGCCTGAAGCCATAATGGCACTTCAAATGCATAATCTAGCACTTTTCAAAATGTTGCATTCAGGGAGAACTGGTTCTGCCCTGGGACTTTGGAATTGCCATTCTGGATATCTGTGTATGTGTGGGAGGTTTCACCTCCATATGGTCTCGTGTATTCTGTGCACAGACATTGTGCAAAGCTGCAGATATAAAACGTAGGTGGTGAGTGTTGTATTGCTGGTTCTGTTGCAAAGCTGGGGTTGTTTGGCTGAAGCCTTAAGAGGTCAAATCCAGCTCTGTTTTCCTTCCTGTGTGAGACTGATGTGCATAGCCTTTTGGTGGCAGAAATGTGTCTTCATTAAAAGCAGCCAGGATGAGATGGGACCCAGTTGCTCTGCTTGGCTAGGAAACTTTGGGCAGTTTTAGCAGCAGCTCAGATTCATTTAAACACTGTCCCAAGCCTCATATGTTTTTAGTGTTATAAAAGCCCATCAGGTTATCCTTTTAAGGTATAAGATGCCCCTAAGGGCTTTGATCATTCAACTGTACTGAGGAATTAAATGCTCTGAGGCAATGCAAGAGCCTCATTCCCTCCAGTGCTGCAAGGCAGGGCAGTCATCACTGGCAAATGGGCCCATGTTACAGTGGCATTAGCATTTTAATGCAACTGAAGAGGAGGTAGATTGACTATAATTTAGTATCTAGTTGCATGGCCTTGTGCAGGTCCCCTCATCATTGCTCCACGGGGGCTGATCACAGTTACACAGTGCACTTTGGAATCTAATTGGATTTACATGCAGCAACGTGGTCATGTCATACCCATGACTGTGCTGTGAAATTCCAGTGCAACTGGTTATTTATGTAGGAGCAATAGTTCCAGGGTGATGCATGGGGCTGACAGCTTGTGCCAAGCTCCAGTTCAAGAGCAGGAAATGTTTTACTTTTTCCTGAAGGTGTTGCAAGGGAATGATATTATTCTGGTCCTGCTTCCACAGAGATGCTTCTCCACACCCTTCACCATTAAAACACTGACCTGTTGCAGAGATCCAGTAGAACATTACTACTGTCTTCAGGTTCTCCTTTGGCTGAGTATATGGACTAGCATGTGTTTGGTTTCCCTTGATCCTGCAGATGTGGTGAGCACAGGGGCTGGCAGTAGCTGGTGTGAGCAGGACACTTGTAAAAGGTTCATCTGGTGGCTGTCCTGCTCTAGTTAACGTGCAGAAGGATGGAGTTCTCACAGACACAAGCCTTGCTTCTCTGTCCTGCACCCTCCATTCATTTCTTGCTTCACTTGCTGCCTGCTGTCTGTACCTGCCTCTCTTCCCCACCCCTCTCTGCTCTGGAGACCAGCAAGAGACATGTGCTTAGCTGCTTTTCCTTCACCAGAGCCCACTCCTCACATGAGCTGCAGCAGATGTGAAGAGAAGCCAAAGCTGAGCAGGGAGACCTGAGGAGGTGGCTGTGGGATGAGTGTGGGGGCAGGACAAGGTGCCAGGCATAGCTGCACTGCACAGCCCCAGGGATGGGGTTTGGCCTCAGCTATTGCTTTGCTTCCACTGTGTTTCCTCAGAGACTGCAGTTAAAGGCAGCAGCTTGCTCCACTCACAATTAGCTATGATGGTTTTGCACTTTCTGCAGTTCTCCCTAATGACAAAATCATAGCTATTAACCAAGGAGAATCTTTTTGGCAGGAGTTTCCTCCCCTTTAGGGCCACAGGATAAGATGGAATATTGCTGCTGTTTGGCACCAAGTGCAGTCTTTTCTCCCTCCTGATACAGAACCTGCTGGTACCTACTGAAGCATTTAAGCTCTTCCTCTCTGTGGTGCTGTAATTTCTTTAAAATATTGTGACTTACGAGGAGTAAAAAACTAAAATCCCTCTCCTACGCAGACCTCTGAGGGCTCATAGGGATGTAATTATATGCACACTCAGTAGGAGCAAGAATCCTATCATTCTGGTTACTTTCCTAATGATAGGTTTATATAGCACAGTGTCACCTCTGCTTTAATGGCAGAGCCATCTTCTCTTGGCAGCAGCTACCGTGGGACAGTGGCATCACAGGACAGCTTAAGAAGTTGTCTCTCAATTGCACATGCAAAATGCAGGATGAAATGTCCACACACCCCAAATTAATAGATAAAAAGGTCAGAGTGGACACTGGGCTCTCACTGTCAGGAAGGGGCTCTCTCCTGGGAGGTGGTGATGCTCTCCCTTCTCCTAGCTGTAGACTCTCCAAAGCTCTCGTCAGAGGTGCCTGAGCCTGCTGCAGCCAATCCCAGCCAGTCACATCTCACACTGGGGGAGAAGCTGTGCCCATCCAGGGATCCAGGGCAGCCTTCAGACTCACCACTGTGCAGTGGGGTAATTCAGCCCCTGCTCAGCACGTCCTCAGAATTTCGCAGCATGGACAAGTCGATTGGGGAAGAAATTGAGAGCAGCAATGAGGAGAGAGACTTGAGGGTGATGGTGGATGAGAAGCTCCCCATGAGCTGCAGTGTGAGCTCAGCCCAGAAACCAACCCAGGCCTGGGCTGCATCCAAAGCAGTGTGGGCAGCAGGGCAAGGGAGGTGATTCTGCCCCTCTGCTCTGCTCTGGTGAGACCCACCTGGAATACTGCACACAGTTCTGGTGTCCTCAACATCAGAAGGACATGGAACTGTTGGAGCAAGTCCAGAGGAGGCCATGAAGTTGCTAAGAGGACTGGAGCATTTCCCCTGTGAGGACAGGCTGAGGGAGTTGGGGCTGTTCAGCCTGGAGAAGAGAAGGTTGTGTGGAGACCTCAGAGCACCTTCCAGGATCTGAAGGGCCTACAAGGGAGCTGCAGGGAGCCTCTGTGTTAGGAACTGCAGGGACAGGACAAGGGGTAATGGGTACAAATTGAAGGAGGGGAAATTTAGGCTAGATGTTAGGCAGAAGATTTCCCTGTTCTGATGTTGAGACCCTGTCCCAGGTTGCCCAGGGAGGCTGTGGCTGCACCGACCCTGGCAGTGTTCAAGACCAGGCTGGATGGAGCCTTGAGGAAGCTGATTGAGTGAGGTTGCTTCCATCTCCCTTCCTCTTCCTTTTCTATCTTCCCAGTAAATGGGCTGTAAAGTCACAGCAGAATAAAATTTGTCTGAACCTCCTATAAAGTCCTGAAGGTGCAGCTGGTATTAATCTGGTCCTGTTGTGGTATGAGGTGTCTGTGTAATGGCACTATAGATTTCTATGTAGTCTGTGGGTAGTTAAAACACCCCAATGATTGTTAAAGAGATTCTCCAGAATTGAATCCCTTGCTGGGTATTAAAAGCTCTTCATTAGTGCTAATGTACACTAAATTAAGTTGGCAATTAGACTGAGCATATTCATCAGGGTGGTGTGTTTTAATAAATTGTGTATTTAACATGATTTCTCTTTATCAGCTACTTCAGTAATTGCATGTTTTTCTCTTCCAGGACAAACTTGGCTAGAAAGAGGTACATGGGACACACAGACAACTAAAGACTAGAGTAGACACTGTGCTTCAAGTCTCAAGATTTGTAAAGGTGAGTGTTGCTTCCACCTTGCTCTGTTTGCATGCCAGATGCTTTCTAGGTATCTCTGCCAGGGCTGGTTAGGTGTAGCTGTGGTGTGCAGGAGAGGGTAAGGAACACACAGCTCCTCTGCTGTTGTATCACCTATGAGGTCCTGCAGCACGACGTCCCTCTTCAGTCTCCTTGCAACACTGTCCCTTTTTCAGCTCTACCTAGATGAGCAGAGAGTGTGGAAATAATAGAATCGTAGGATTTTAGGAGTTGGAATGGACCTTACAGATCATCCAGTCCCAGTCTCCTGCTTCATCCAACCTGGGTTTGAGCACTGCCAGGATTAGGGCAGCCACAGCCTCCCTGGGCAACCTGGGACAGTGTCTCACCACCCTCACAGGGAAATCTTCTGCCTAACATCTAACCTAAATGTCCCCTCCAACAATTTGTACCCATTGCCCCTTGTCCTGTCCCTGCAGTTCCTAACACAGATCCCTCTGCAGCTTCCCTGGAGCCCCTTCAGATCCTGGAAGGTGTTATGAGGTCTCCACACAACCTTCTCTTCTCCTCTGAGAGGATTTTCTGGGAGGCCCCTCCTGTTAGGTATGTTCTCTAGGGAGACCACACCACTTTGCTTTAAAGGAGTCGGATACTGCTAGAGGGTAGAGAACAGAGAAATCCTTTTGGGAGAGATTTCCTTGTGAAGGGAGGCAAGAATGCTGAGACATGTCTCCACACCTGCAGGCCAAAGGGTGGGCTGCCACGTTGCTGTGAGCCCATTGCTGGCAGCAATGCCAGGTGGTGGTGATATTTTGGCACTGGTGCAGCTTAGAGCTTCAAGGACGTTTCCAGTGACACTTCAGCTGGGATAGTCTCCAGAAATTGATACATTTCCTTAGAATAGAAGGCCTTTCCTCTCCTGCAACCTTCCTCTTCACATCTGTGTTTGTCTCTAGTCCTTAATGAATGCAAAGGGACATAGCAGTGATCGTTATTTTTTCCAAGATTGTGCTATGTTGCCTTGTTCAGGTAAGAAAAGAGCTCTTCTGTACAACAAGCACCACAGGATCTTGGGGGAAATACAAATAGAGATAAGACTGTGTCATTCCTATAAAAAATGAGTGTGCTAAGAAAGTGCTGTTGTTTTGTAGGAGGAATTGGATCAGTGAGGCTGAAGACCATGGAGGGAGATTGCCTAAGCTGCATGAAGTACCTGATGTTTCTTTTCAATTTCTTTATATTTGTAAGTGCTTAGAATTCCCTTTCTTTCCCGAATCCTCTTGTTTGCAGCAGCCTGCTGCTCCCCAGCAGGGCAGGCTGCAATTTGGGAAAGTGGCCACAATACAGAATATCCCTCTCTGCTTTGCACTAGTAATCACAGAATGTTTTGCAATATCCAGAGATGCTCAGACAGTCAGCAAGACAGCACAGTGGTCACTGTTCTCTGTTATTGCTGTCCTTGACAGGGGAGACAACAGGCAAAGCTGCAACTAGTGATGACCATGGTTCATCCTTGAATGGCAGAAGAAATTGTTTTCTAGCCCTCGTGCCCTACTGAGGTTTTCACTTGGAAACAGTCATTTCCCTACCACATGTAGAGGCATTCTAGGTTGTTCTTGTTTGTGAAAGGAAGGCTGGGAGTGCCCAGCCACCCTGGCTCCGTGGCAGGGATGGTTAGTGTGTGCCCCTTCACTGGGCTGTCCTCTCTAGATGTGGCAGCAGATGAAGACTCTGTCTTTCAGCATTAGGAAGGGAGGAAACAGTTGGTAGAGTGATGTGTCAGGAAGAAAGGCACTTCAGCTGCAAGTGATTCATTTAGTGAGCAAGAGATACTAAGAGTTGTGTGTCAGAAGTCACCTGCACAGTGCAACAGGGAAACAAAAATCCTCCAAGGTAACACCTTGAATCAAACAATAGCAGTTAATCCAGTTTTCCTGCAGCTGTTGGTTTATGTTGACCTATCTCCTCTCTTCCCTCTCCTTGTGACAGCTGGGAGGAGCATGCCTGCTGGGACTTGGAATCTGGGTGATTGTGGATCCCACAGGTTTCCGAGAGATAGTGGCTGCCAACCCTCTGCTCTTCACAGGAGCCTACATCATGCTGGCTATGGGAGCCATGCTCTTCCTGCTGGGTTTCCTCGGCTGCTGCGGTGCCATCAGGGAGAACAAATGCCTCCTGCTTTTTGTAAGTGTCCTTGCCTTTTCTGTTGGCCTCTGGGTGCTTCCCAAGCGTGGGGGTGACTGGAGAGATGATGCTCAAATCAGCTGCTGTTAAAGCATCCGTGAAACCCAAAGTCTGACAGGAGTAAGCTTTAGGCATGAAAGAGGCAAAACATGCATGACCAAAAGCCAGAGAGACTGGGAACATTTGCAAAACAGAGAGTGTAAGTCTTTGTGGGGGTGGTACCAGGGGAGAAGTTGCTGTATCAAATCAAGTCCACTTACAAAGTCGTTAAAGAATTGATGAGCCAGAGAGCTGCTCGGGAGATTTCACCGTGATGCATAATGCAAGTCTGAAGCTTTTAGTCCAAGAGTAAACAAAGGCTAGAAGGGAGGAGACATGCACAAATGCATGTTCTCTAGGTTCTGCCTTCTGTGTCTGTAAAGACTTTTATTTTTCATTAAGCTCCTTGTCTTACGGCAAAAAAAAACATCGCCATGGAGCCTAATGTCTTGCATTAAGCACAGGACTGTGAAGTGTTCCTAGATTTCCCAGTGTTTGGGCCTGGCTTACAATAAAAGCACAAACTTTGGCCTGCAGAGGAGACATTGAATAACTTCTAGATTGCCCTGAAGATCCTCTGACTGCAAAACAGCACCACAGAAATCAGAATGCAGAGTACTGTTGATCACCAATGTTGTACCACAGGACTGAGTTCAGCTCTGCAGCCAGAACAGTCTGTGTTGGGTTGCTTTGACTTGGTTTCAAGCTCAGACACTCTGCTTTGCACCCTGTGAAATGCCCCAGAAACATGTGAGCATGACAGTGCAGGTCCTGTGAGTCAAAGGCAGTTGCTGCTCTTTTTGGAAAAGCATTGCTAAAACTGAACCAGTAGGTGAGCTGTGAAAACTCAGCATGAAGCAGTGATTTGTGGAGACTTCTGGTAAACCAGTGAACCACCACCAGGAGCTGAGGCAACGTTTTTGGCTAGCAGAAGAGCCCTCACTCCTCAGGATGTTCACCTTGGGGCTGGGGGGGACCCCTGTTCAGACCTGGGGCCTCAAGCTTGCATTTCCCTGTGAGGTTGCTGTGTCCTGTGTGTTACCCACTTGGTTGTTCTGTGCTCTCATACATCAGTAATCAATTTAATTTTGGGAAGCAAAACATAACAAGCAGGTTTTGACTCTCCTTAAAATGCAGAATGGGAGCAAGTTCTGTAACACTGATGATCCGTCTTCTTTTTCTCATCAGCCCTAATAGCTGCTTGTGTTTTTTTTCTACAGCAGCTAGTGCAATTCTGTAATGCAGAGTGCACAATGTAAGTGTAAATCAGTTTGGGAATGATAATGAAGCTTATCAGGGATAATCTGGGAATGACTGCTTCCACTTCTGCACAGGCCTGTGCTGGAGCTTGGGTGAACATGTGCTTCCCAGTAATCAGTAAATGAAATGCAATTAGCAGGGTGATGGGATTAATCACTTGATCACCACCTTAGACCTTAGTGGCTGTGCTGAGATCCCTTGATGGATGATGTGAATTCGTAAAGCATCGTTCCCTCTCATCACTTGTTCTTTGCCCTCCTGTGGTGAAATTAAAACAGCCTCTGAGCAGGAAAAAAAGAAACCACACAGAAAACTCTTGCAGTAAGAATAAATTAGAGGGTTAACTAGTTCAGCAAAATCAAGCAGCAGCACTATGTTAGAAACCAAAGTCCCTGCTCGTCTGCCTTGCCTTGTTTTGTCATTTGAGCCCAGGCTCCTGTTCTGTTGTTTCCACTGCAAGAGCAGGAGGACGAATGGGACAGGGTGGTGTGTGTGCTCTTCTAGTGGGGAAAAATCACTTACAGCTCTGCTAGTGGACAACAAAACAACATTGTGCCTGTTCCAAGCAGGTCGTTTGAATCCTCTCTCCATCAGTGAGGTGCAGGATGCACAGCCATGCAGACACTGCTGCGTGGGGATCACAGTTGTGCTCCTGGCCCTGTCTGCCTTGTCTCAGAAAGGCCTTCTATAACCTTCTCACAGGAAAAAAAACCACAAATATCCAGACTTCTCTTGTGTTTATTTTCACTTGTTGCTTCACCCACCTTCAGTGATAACAGGTACCACATGTTTATTACCCTTCATGTGATGTGATTCTCCCTTCACTTCTGTTTTTCTCACGCAGTGCCAAAATCTGAGTCAATTTCTCAATATTCCCTTAGTTTTGTAAAATCACCTTGGAGCCTGTGGGCTAACTCTTAGGGTGTTTGAATTTTTGGCAGGTTATTTCCCTTTGTGGCTATAAGAACATAAAATGACTTGTTTCCTCAAGCTCACTATTTTGTCTACCAGAATGGAAAGAAATGCCATTTTGGGTGTGAGTGTGAGCCTAGCCACTTACTGCTCTGTTCCCAGAGCTGTCCCTCAGCACCACCATTTGTTGGTTTAAGGATGTTGGAGAGCACATCCTTCCCTGTTCCTTTTGCCATTTCATATGGACTGCAGCAGCATCAAACCAGCATGAAGTATCAAACTGAGCACTGGTCCCAAGGACAGGCCAGTCCTGAACTCTTCAATGTCAGTGAGGGCTTTCCTGCTCTGGGAGATTTGTTCCCTTCAATACTCTGTTCCTCTGTACTTGGGTTTCCCCTCTGGCTGTGCAGTGCCATGCCCACGGGCTGCAGTGGCAGCCAGCAGGGCCACTGGGCAGGAAACACTCCAGAATCCCTGAGCTCACTGGGTGGACAGTGCCCTGGGACAGCACCCTCACAGCAAGGGATTAGTCTCTCTGGGGATGAGACCTCTGAAGTGCATCTGAGTTAGCTCCATGACAAAGGTGTGGTGAATCACTTAGCCTTGGCAGCATCACCCAGACAAGCCATGAGACTGAAGACTGGACCTTTAGATGGAAGCAGCAGAAGGTTACAAGGGTAACACGAGGAAATGCAGCTCCAGCTTCAGTTTGCCATGTGCCATGTGCCTCTCTGCTTCGCTTTCCTTTCCCTTTCCTAAAGTCCTGATGACATAAGTGTAATGGTTTTACTTCAAAACTGGTTGCCTGTTTTTCTTCCACTCCTACTTAATCTGCTGCCTGTCCTTCCTGCCGAGCCCTGAACTGAGGGATGTGAAGGTTCACACTCTGGGTACCATGCAGGACACGGATGAATCCAATTCAGTTCTTATGATGTGTTATCAACTCTCTGTACAGGTTCTCTGTGGTTAATACTTACCCAGTGCAACCCCATGGTGTGGGAGGGGATGTTCACCAAGGCTGATTTTGTCCTGAAATGCAGAATACTCTGAAAACAGTTCATTTGTGGTCACAGGTGTAAATACTTGAGTACAAGACCCACGATGTCCTTCCTTACAAAACAAGCCATGGTTACATTGCAGTAAATGCTGTAGTTTATACTGGGGTGAGATGTGTGTGCATGTGATGCAAACACTGGTGTCAGGACAGTTTAACCCTGTGTGAGCATGTCCACAGCTGTATAAATTTTCCATCAAAACAGCCTTGATCAATTTAACCTGGTGCAGATTTACCAGGGGATGTTGTGGGTTCTGTAACCTTATTCCCTTTTACTCATTAGAACAAGACAGAAGCATTACAAGGTTCCCCAGCCTGTGCTGAGGTCAGAGGGACTGTGTGTGCTCCAGGTGACTGTCCCATAGGTTTTTTTGTTGTCAGGGGGAAAATATGTTTCCTCAGTTGTTTTTTCCATCTCTTTGGTATGTAACAAACCCCTGTGTTCCTACTACCTATTGCACACAATTAATGCTATGTCTGTGATTTTTGTTTATCTTCTCTTTTCCAGTTCTTCATGTTTATTTTGTTGATCTTCTTGGCAGAGCTTTCAGCAGCAATCCTGGCTTTTGTCTTCAGAGAAAATGTAAGTATCCAGTGGTGGGCAAGCCTCAGTGTGATAGTACACATCTGTTAGTGGCTGATTCGTTTGTGCAGTGGCTGTTTCTTTCACATACTAGTGAACCTTCATTCCTACCCTCAGTCTGCAGAAGTGCCAGCAGGCAGGGAAGGCTAACACACCTACCTTGTGCAGGGTGGAGAGTTCATGCACACAGCTACTTATTCCTGACAGTTTTAGAGTCTTCCAGAGTCTTCCTGGATCCCTTTGCAGCCAGACCAGCTGCACATCTCACTAAGACTAAAAGCAACTCTTTTATTTTCTCAGTACAGCATGTGTTTAACATTAGTAGTGCAAACCCTTGTTTTCCCAACAGAGCCAATGCTTGCACTGCAGTGCAAAATCTCTCTTGTGAATCTTCTAATCATATTCTTTCATGAATTTACACCTTCTAGTGTTCATCACCCTCCTACCAATGTTGAATGATATTTCTCCTGCCCTGCCCTGAGCAAGTCTCCCCATGTTTGCCTTTTAGCCCCATCAATGGTTCCCTTGCATATTGCCCTGGTTAGAGTTTGATCATTCTCTCCACAGCTTCATATGGTGCAGCCTGTCTCTACCCTGCTGCTATGCACATCATCCCTACCCTGTGCTAGTAGTAAGCTTTAACTACACTATTAGTAACCACAGCCTCATTTCTTTCTCTAAACAGCAGAGGTTTATGTTTATGTCTTTTTTTCACACTGAACTAGGCTCATCCTTCTCATTGAAATGTGGCTCCAAGTGATGGCTGTGAAAAAACATTGACTAGTAGAGGTGATGAACATGAAAGAAATGTGGCACAAGTATAGAAGGGCCATGTATACTTTTTCCTAGATATTAGGCAGAGGTTTCCCTGTGAGAATGGTGAGACACTGTCCCAGGTTGCCCAGGGAGGCTGTGGCTGCCCCAACCCTGGCAGTGTTCACAGCCAGGTTGGATGAGCCTTGAGCAACCTGCTCTGGTGGGAGGTGTCCCTGCCCAGGGCAGGGGTTGGGGCTGGATGATCTCTAAGGTCCATTCCAACCCCCAAAATTCTATGATTCTATGTACAATGATGATTTTCTTGAGCCAGGATATACTTTTAATTTTGTTCATATAAGAAGCTTTTGATAAGAAAGCATCAAGCTCACAGCCAGGCAGTGTGCTGTTTGTGCAGTTGGATGGTCCTGTGGGGAGGTAGTGAGAGGATTTGTTTTCTGGCTGTGTCCTCCTAGCTCAGGACTTGCTTCAGGGCAAAGCATCAGTGCCTTCCACTCCCTCTGTGGGACACATAAGGGCATGCTATCTTGCAAGATAAGGTCACAGTGGTTATTCTAGAGTTCTGTGGCATCTGGTGGTTTTTTGTGAGAGAAAACTTGAAGGGGAACAAACTTCTCTCTTTCCTGAGCTTGTCTCCTTGTTTGTATCACCAACTTCCCACTCTGTCAGAATGACTGACAGGAAGGGCTGAAATGGGAAGGAATGGAGAACGTCAGCTCCCAACATAGCTGGAGATGACTCTGTGCAGAAGTCAAACTCAGTCTACAAGTTCTTGTGGTTTGTTCTCTCCTCAGTTTTCTTCTGAAAAAACTGCCCCTTGTTTTGCTGTTGCTTTATATTTTGGTGGTAGCTCCTCTGGCTTGGTAACTCCTTGTGGCCAACTTTGCTGTCACCTTTGGGTTCGGATGAGACTCGATGGCTGGGCAGGATGCCCATGGGGACAGAGGTGGTTTGTCAGTGACCTCATGTTGAGAAGAATTCTTCGCAGTAGCAATTTAAGGTCAAGTTCAGATGTGCTTTTCTCTTCCCTGTGAAACCTTTGGGGCATGTGGTGGCAAATGCACCTTTAGGCAACCTAAATTCCTTGAAAGCTTACCCAGCAGGATTCTGTGATGGTCATGGTACCAGTGCACGTGGCTGTGGCCTCACTGGGTGCATGAAATGAGACAAAAGATACACTTCATCTGTTTGCTTTACAGATAATGTTCAGTACAGCTTCCTCTTGTATAGTGTTTTACAATCCAAACCAGCTTCAAATCACTCAACAGGGGTAAATTATTAATAGCTGAGGCAGTGAAAGAAGTGAAGAGGCAAAATGAAGGGAGAAAAGAGATGTTTTCTGCTGAGATGTGACATGAGAGGAAGAGCCAGTGAAGCAGAGTGTGGTGTGGGGTGAGTGAAAGTGTTAGTGATGGTGAGCTGCTGTGATCTGCAAGTTCAGCTGCACTTCCAAAGCACTGCTTAAAAGCAGTCTCAGAAGAGAAAGGCTGTGGTTAATCAGCTATGGGATTATCAGAGCTTCTTTTCCTTTGTAAAGGAGATTTTGAGGGGTAGAGGAACCTTTTTCATCTAGAAGTTCCCCCCTAAAATAATGACTTCATGAACACTAAAGAGAGGATTGGAAAGAGCAATTTGACTTGTTCAGGAATTGCTCCTTCTATGCCCTTCAGAGGTCTAGATGGGAAAAAACCTGGAGGGATATTTGGCTTTTAGTAAATAAGAAGGCAGGATGGTAGGAACAGAGGTCTCCAGTGACAAGATGCTTGGATTTGTGGCCACAGTTCTAACACTTAATAAGCAAGTCACTTTGGTTCCTGACACATCTCTTACCTCAGACCTGATACATCTCTTTCCTCAGACATAAGGCAAAAACTAAATGACATGAACCTTGCTCAGCTGAGTGGCTGGAGGGCTCTGGGGTGGAAGGCACTGTGGAAGCAGCAGCAGCAGTGGTGATTGTACCTCTGAGCACTGCCCTGGGACAGAATCATTAGGATGCTCCAGGCCAATGCAGATGGGCAGAAGTGAATCCTGTTTCCCAGGCAGGTTCTCACACAGTATTCCTGAGCACAGTGCTGCATGAGAAGGCTGTGACTTTCCTGGGCAGTGCCAGCACACCTGTCCTGTGCAGAAATGGCTTCCTTGTGCCAAGTCCTCTTCATCTGCCTGCACTAATCCCAGCCAAGCTGCAGCCACACTTCATCCCCTGGCAGGTAAATGTGTGCACACCTGTGCTGGGCTGGAAGTGTGATCCCAGAACAGCCAGAGGAAACCACAGCCAAACAGCTCCTCCATGGCTCTGGCTGGTGCCACTGTGTTTGCACAAGTGTGTGCCAAGATCCAGTTGTGTCAGTAGGTCCTTTGCTCCCTTCTGAATGGTTCTTGCACAGACCTCGTTGGGCCCAGTACTGGTTGCTGTGTGTCATGGTTTAACCCCAGCCAGCAGCCAAGAACCAGCAGCCACTCACACTCCTCCTCACCCCTTCCCCCCCAACCCGGAGGAATGGGGAGGGGAGCAAATAAAGTAAAATAGGTAGGTTGAGATAAGAACAGTGTAATAGTAATAAAGAGTAGAATGAGCTACAATGCTAATGGATAATAAAAAGAACACAATCAGTGATGCTCAATCCAATTGCTCAGCACCACAGACAGGTACAGCCCTGAACCTCCCCCAGCCCTTCCTGATGATACCCTGGGCATGATGTGCCATGGGGGGAATATCCCTTTGGCTGGTTCAGCTCACCTGTCCTGGCTATGCTCCCTCCCAGTTTCCTGTGTATCTTCTCACTGGCAGAGCATGAGACACAAGCAAGAAAATGTCCTTGGTTTAGGATAAACACAATTTAGCAAAACCAAAATATCAGTGTATTATCACTCTGAATCCAAACACTGCACTACACTAGCTACTGAGAAAATTAACTCCATCCTGGCTAAAACAGGACACCATGAGAGGACATGGCAGGAGGACTGTCTTGTTTTGTCCTCCTTTGTCAGCAATTTTGCTTTTTTTTTTTTCCCCATTTTTCTGCACTTCAGATGGACAAAGGGTTTAAGAGCAACAAAATGGGACCAGTTATTTCCTGGACAAACTTACCTTCCAGGCTTTATTTCAGGCCAAGTGTTGTAAGAATCACACAGAAACGCTGAACAATGTCCTCAGGGGTTGCTGCTGTCTAAAGAAAGGTTTCACTTTATATTGAAATGACTCCTTTGTTTTAGACCCTGACAGAGGCAGCTGGCTGGGTCTGTGCTTCAGGAACAGATGAGCATCAAAAAAATGTAGTCTGCAGGGTTGGATGCTGGATGGGTAAAG